TCGGAGTGTTCCTTTAAGAGTACCCAGGTCGAAGCTGCAATGTAGGGGTGACAGAGCCTTCGGGTAGCTGGCCCCAGGCTAAAATTGCCCTTACATATTAAAACAGCGCCCACAGTGTCGGTGTTCAGAAGTCTTTTAAAAACCTATTTTTACTCCTGTGCATTCAATGTTTTGTGAACGTTGTTTTTATGTGTTTGATTTATGTTTTTGTTTTTGTTTTCTTATTTTATATGGATTTTAATAGATATATTTTGTACAGCACTTTGGTCGACCTAGGTTGTTTTAAATGTGCTTTATAAATACAATAAACTTGAAACTTGAATTACAAACCTGTGCATATATATTCAAACACACATAACTATAGAATCAATTCATAATGCACATGTGAACGCCATCAGCGTTTATCACAGGTTCACGTTTAAAGTCTGTTTAGAGACATTCATATGCAGTTTTACCTTACAGTTACTGTAAATCCGGCCTCTAGACCTCATAAACGCCAGAGGAGAACTGGCCCCCGACTGAGCCTGTGTTCTCCCAAGGTTTTTTTTTTTTTTTCTCGCCATTGGGTCACCTGAGTTTTAGGACCCCATTAGGCCACTTGGAGTTTTTCGGTTCCTTGCCACTGTTGCCTTTGGCTTGCTCAGTTGGGTATGTTCAAATTAATTAACCAATCAGTACTATCCTTGATCAGCTCTACCAAACGTTGTTGTTTTTTCCACTAAGAAACAAACATTATGTTTTGATTGATACTCTGAGAAATTGCAAAAAACAAAACAAAACGAAAAGGTTAAAAGTTAATGACATTACAATTAGAAAAAGACTGAACAATTATGGCTTGTTTGGAAGGGTTTCCAGGAGAAGCCAATTCTCACGCTCTCACGCCACACCCCCGATTTCTCACGCTAAAGTGTCAAGCCTGTTGGTAAAATACCTGAAAGATGAGTTCATCTATAGTTATCTATAGTTTATCTATAGTTATCTATAGTTAAAATATCCTCTAATCTAGAGCGAGCTTGCATGCGAGACAGATGTTGAGCTCCTAACGGCGTGGACGCAAAGCCAGGACTGGAGTCAAAGCACGTTCCTCTCTGCACTGTAAGCGTTCTGTTATCACTCCGCTATAGGCAAACTAGGTGGTTGCCTAGAGCGCCAAATGTGTTGGGGGTGCCGCGGGCGTGCGCTCTAGTGTCATCCTTGACCTACTTCACATACTCCCAATTAATTGAGATATCAGAGTTAGAATGAGAAGAGGAAAAAAAATGTTTATTAAACATTATCATCCTAAGGCGCCCCTCAGCCACACGTTGAATTACTTACTTAATTACTGATTATTAGATTGAATTGATGATTATTGTTGATTTTTTTCCGGGGGGTTGCGTTACGTTGGGCAAGTGCTCAGCTGCTGGCACGTTAATCGGAAGCGGTATAAACCTTGGTCCACATGGGACGAACACAGAGAAAGCAACAAAATAAAAAGAAAGCCCAGTATGAAGGTAAGTTAAGCCTTCTCATCTCAGCCCTTAAAGTCTCAAACAAACGCAATAAATGCCTACTTCCCAGTGTAGCCTCCTTGAGATTCCCGGTGACTGACGTGCTTTTTGGGCCGATACATCTCATAGCCTACTTTTATTTATTTTTTGTCTTAACGGCCAATAAAACTCGTGCATCGGCAGCTCATTCGTTTTGTTTTGCTTAATTGGCGGCGCTGAGTTGCTTTCAAGTATATAGCTTACTTACAAGTATAGAAATTTGTGCAAAACTAATTATGAAAGTTTATTTTATTTTTTATTGCATTTGTTTTACAATTTAGCCTATTATGTAATAGTGTAATGTAGACAGGCACTGTAACTAAAAGAGGTTTGAATTTTTCTTTGTTCAATTTGCACACTGAATTGCACCAGATTGATGATTTAACATTTAAACTTGATTTAAACTTGAACATTAAAATGATAAACAGTTTAACAAGAAGTGCTCCGAGAACCCAAATTCCCAGAACGTTCCCCTGCAGGTTATTTTTTTAGATTTTATTTGTATAACCAATTAATTAAAGGAGTGATCAATTGAGAAATCAAATATTCCTTAAGCTTTTGACATCTAAGAGGTCATCATGTAATAAGAATATCCTGTAAGTTTCAGAACTGAAAACGTCCTTGTTTAGCCCAATAAAAGCTTTTATTGACACCAGCCCCGGCAAACGACTCGTTTTTAAATGTGGGGAACTATGACGTCAAAGGGGTTAAAACACCACCCCCGCAGAAGAAGATCAACTCCTACTTCAACACAGACGGTTTAGCCCCGCCCACCGATTTGCACATTACACGCATAGCTAAATAACATAGCCTACCTCGTGATGACAAACCGGATCGAGCTAACAAGGAATACAAAATATTGTGCAGTGCCTGTTTGTGGAAGTAGACAGTTGCTGCATAAGCTGGATTCCAATAGGAATGCAAAACTTTATTTTTAATTTAATGACGTTCCAGCAGATGAGGTAAAACCATCTGTTTGCTTCATTTCACTGAGGATTGTAAACAAGACTGGATTTGCAGACCAATTAAGTAAGAAGTGGTGCTGTGCCTTCTATATTGGATCTGGCAGGAATTGTGCAACACACAGACTCTGGGTCAAACATGTATGGGCGAATTATTCCGGTTGCCATTTTACAACATTGGACTTTTCAAAAGAGTTTTCCCCACGTACACCGACGAGGTGAGTTCAAACTCATTATAATGCAAAACTGTTATCCACTCACAGCAGTGGCCATTTACTTCCAGGTGTTCAGTGCGAGACGGCCACTAAAAATTGAGTGTTTCTGAGCTGGGCTGAAAACTAGGGTAGAAAATAGCTTATTACTTATTCATTTCGATATTTTTGAATGTAAAAATCAAGCGAACGTCATAATTTCTCCTCAGACAACAATATAATAAAATTTAAAAAGCCAGTTCATGACCCCTTTAATTAAAACATTGCAGATGATACAGGCTACAGAGATTATTCTAATGCTGAAATTTGTAATTTATTTATAAACAAACAACTATATAATGCTCGGACACACTCGGTCTCTCGCGTTTTATTTTTTTATATATCACAAACGTCTGAATTTATAATACTATATGTAATGTAATGTTCCAGCTGCCTTTGCTTACATAAGTAAACAGTATGGGAAAGCGCAACCAGGTAAAAAAATGACAATTTGACAAATTCTACAAACAATTTGAGTTTGCCAACAGTTAATAATATATATATATATATATATATATATATATATATATATATATATGCCGTCGTGCGACGGGGGGTCTCACGCCAAGCTAAACTCAAAAGTTGGCAGCTTTGACAATGTGAGATAGTCATACAGAAAACTGCTAAAAGTGGTTATACAAGCCATTGAATCATGGGGTGTACTTAGTTTTTCACACATGGCTTCTCCATTTGGTTTATTTTTGTTAAAAAATGACACTGTGTAATATGGCCTTTGGTGTTGTTCATCAGAGTTTGTATTTTAGGACCTGCTAAGGATCAGGTTATTCTGTTTTATGTCCTGATAATTGAAACCATAGAATTCAAATAGGGTGTATTTTCTTTTTCACATGACTGAATGTTAATGCTGACATTTACACTCGCTTAAATTTTAAGAGAAAGAACATTTATACATTTATTAGTATCAGTTTAATTTATTGATCCTTATTAATTTAACCCTTGTGCATCAATTAAAAAAAGTTACACATAGGTAAAAAGAGGACAAAAATGTCCATGTCAAAAAACTGTCTTAAGTTTTGTATCATTTTAAAGAAGACCCTTTGCAGATTATTGCTGAAGTAAAAAAACAATAAGTAAATAAAAAAAAAGTTATATAGGTATAAGTTTATGAAAATTATTTATAAAATAATATTTTATATAAAATATATATTTTTTAAATCAGGTTGAACTCAAAACTACAATAAAATCAAAGCCATATATCTAAATAGGTTGTGTTCCAAATTTGAGGATGATATCTCAAAAAATTAGAGTAACAGTTTGTTTGGGCGTAGTAACATATTTTCCCCATTGGGTGCCAGCAAAACCCCACTGGAGCTCACAGTGATTGGATTTGTTATTTGCAGTTTTTCTCTCTCAGTTTTACAAACACACACATGCGCACACACACACGTATTTTTTTATAACACACATACTAACCACACTCTGACATCCATACCAACACACCCACACAAATATTGTTGCATAATTTATCCAGTTGGCTCTATAATATGCCGAACCAGAAAACAGGAAAAAAGCGATATTTGTTTTATTGGCCAAACTTAAAAAAAAATGACACCATCTGATAAAAAATAGTAAAAAATTAAATTTTGAAGCCTTGCCATCAGAATGAAAGCCTCTTAACAAAAATTGCATAATTTTATAGTTAACTGAACCGGGGATTAAAAATGGCAGTTTTAATGGGTTTCAATGGGGACATTTTTGTCCAAAAGGTGCTGAGAGGGAGTATTTTTTGTACCTAATGAAAAAAATTGTTTTTAAAGAAAATGATGGTGAAATAGTAAAATTCCAATAAAAATACACACCTGTGGCAAGTTTTTTGCAGTTAGCTTTAACACAGGCAAAGTGATCAAAAAAACAAAACTGAAAAGGACAAAAATGTCCACAAGGATGCACAAGGGTTAAAAACCATTTCTGATTGTTATTTACATACAAAAATACTTATGTTATTTATGTTTAGTATCTTAATGGAAACTTGCTTTCAGTTATTTGCAAAAGAAGTTAGACATAAGGATAAACGGAAATTCACAGCATTTCAACCATTTCTGCTCATGTATTTGAAGGCTGCTATTGGATCACTGAGGGTAAATGTTGTATTATGCGACTATGCATTACTTTACCGAGAGCTTACAACCTAACAGAGTTAGTTAAAAACTAACTAGTAGCTACCGAGTTAAAAACTAGCTAGATATTACCAAGTCTCTAATATTACTGAGAAAGACAGAAAAAAAAGATGCTCATACCTCTCCTCTCTCCTCCGTTCTCTCTCCTCTGGTTTGGTCCGTATGGTGACTGTATGTTCGGTCATTAGCAAATTCCTGTGCATTTGCTGAAAAAAAAAAAAGCACAAAATCACATATTCAGCTTTCTACACACCTAACCAGACCTGACATATTTAAAGGGCAGTAAGTGATTTCTGAGAACCGCTGTTAAAAAGTAGATCGGACTGAGCACCACAACACACTTATATCCAATCAGCAGTAGGGGGCAGAGAGAAAGTGAGCAAGAGGGAGATTTTAAGAAAGAAAGATGGCTGACAGACATTACAAAAGAGAAAAGGTCAGGGAATATCACTGGAAAACATTGGTTTATGATCAGGCAAGAGCTTTATCAAGAGCATTAATATTAGAAAAGATTTCCAGGGGGCCAAGATGGTGGCATGAGAGGTGGACGCTTTTTGTGTTAAACACAATCTACTTAATACAGACATCTTCATTATAAAGAAAAATGACAAATAAAAAAAATACAGCTGCGAGCAGCTTTTGCGGGCCCAAGCCGGTGGCACCGCAACCATCGGGATGGCGGTACCGCTGGCCATTCAGCTATATATATATATATATATATATATATATATAAAGCCGGTGGCACCGCCACCTTGGTGCCTTTAGGGTTATTCTGCACGACGTGCAAAAACGTAATCCCCGCTTTGTCGAAAAGAAGTGTGACCGGTCCTAGTATAGCTCATAACCCCCGCCTCCCCCTGTTATTCAATGGGACGCGAGACCAACTAAACAATTAAATTACACTTCACATATCCTTTTTCCGCGGATAGTTTCTGTTATTTACTGTAGTTTCTATCATGTTGATGTAATTTCAAGTGTTCGTTTTTAAAATAAATTTGTTTTTAGTTAGTTATGTGATGAAAAACGGTGCTCTGACATCATGATTGACAGGTTCTCTGTGCGAGGTAGTCACTGAAGCACCAGCGGACTTTTTTTAATAATGTTGATAATGTGGTAGTTGTATTTACCTTATTTTAATGAGGTTCTGCAATCAGCAGACATCATTGGAGAAGAACGAAGCAGACAGAGGACACTTAATGAAAGTGCGGGGCATGTGCTTGCGTTTGATTCAGCGAGAATGAGGATGCCTTGATTTCACGGCTTTACTTCCTGCTCACGACTGCGAATGACTGGTCCCGAAACACGCAAGTGCGCAGACTCAAGTTACAAGATGTCAGCGTCATATCGAGACACTGGCGGCTTCAGTTCTCTCCGATGGAAAAGAGCGAAGGGGCGTCGTCCAACTTTTTTTTACAGTCTATGGTATAGACGCTTTCATCAGACGCGTTGCTATGGTGATGAGCTGGCCCAAAGTTAACTTCCGTTCTGTTTGCTTATTAGTGTTTACTGGATAATATGGCATTGACTACAAATGCAGTGAAAGTTAAGGTGATGAGCAGGTTGTTGAGCTGTGGGGTGCAACCTGACCTTGGGAGCAAACGCACTTTTTTAAAAATAAAAATGTCAAGGTTTCCTATGAGAGAGACGGCGGTATTAAAATAGCCTAGCTATGTTTATCTGAGTGATAACCGGTACAGTGTTTCCCATACATTTATTAGTGGCAGCCCACCACAATATCAGCGCTGACCGCCACATATTGATTTCTGTGTTTTTAACAATTTAAGATGGGAAAAGTTGTAATTGACTGCAGAGTTGCGTGCAGCGCATATTCGCACGCTCTCTCCCTCTCTCTCTCGCAAACACATTGACAGCAGACCAATCTGTGTATTGAATGGTTACTATCATAAACAGCGCTGCTCAGATCCATCCAACATGCTGTCAATGTGGAGACCCACCTTAAAAAAAGGTTAGCAAGCATGTAAGAAGCCTAGCTAATAAGGAGAGCTATGTTAACCTTATCAAACCCCGCCGTTGCGCTCGCCACAGTTTTTTTAACACTGCGGTAAATCAGACACGTCAGTAGAAAAATATCTTGTCTCCAATTTTTGTTCAACGGGTCTGGTAGTGTCACATTTTAGTTTGGCCAGGTAACATTTATTTTCTTTGACTGGCAAGAAATACCAGCTACTATGGTTATTTACTTGTTATGGATTGTCTGCGCAAGTCTGCCCGAAGTTAAGTTTGGGCCCGATTAATGCACATGCGCAGTACCGTTTGTTTATGTTGTCACTGCTGAAAGCGTGTATGTAATAAAACATTGGTACATAGTCAACCGTTCTCTGAGATTTGTTTTCATGATAATCGAATGTAAAGAGTTGTATCTCTAAAAACTGTTTAGCGTATAATGCTAGTAATGGGGGCATTGACTAAGTAAAAAGAAATCGCTAGTTTATACCACTAACAAGGCTCAAAATAGCCCCACACTAACGCTGTAACATAATGAGGCTCCATACATGCAAAACGAAGCATTGAAAACTTTGTAAGTGTACAGACCGTTTAATAAGAAGATACTTTATGAAGACAGTTCACTTCGTGTAGACAGACAGGAGCCATCTTAAAAAATAGTCTCGATAAGTCAAACCACGAACGCTGTTGCCCTGCTTTCAAAAAACCACCGCATGTGTCTGAAGCCTCAGACATTGTCCAAACTTGTGTTCTTGAAGGTGAACTCAAAAGAACTGTAGGCTAGATCAGGGGTTCTCAACTCCAGTCCTCGCGACCCACTGCTCTGCATGTTGTGTATGTCTCCCTTTAACACACCTGATTCAGATCCTCAGCTCGTTAGGATAGACTCTATGGGGCTGTTTACACCTGGCCACTTCATGCGTTTTCTCAGATCAGATAGCTATCTGATTTATCAAAATGATTCCATTTACACCTGGTCACATAAATGTGTTTTTGCAAAACGGATAGCTAAATCCGATCTTCAATTCCCGTGCTATATGCGGATTTAATGAAGTGCACGTCACCGAAAGCAACAGATATGAGCTGCATTTTATTGATCATCGGCTAATTTCAAAATCAGCAAACACGGTGATAAGAAAGAGTGGCAACAGAACTGGTAAGATCATTTTGTTTCTTTACTTTTAATGAAGATGGTAGTGTTAATCGTCTGCGACTTACTTTCACTTTGATTTGTGATAGAATGCAGTGCGTTGGCTTGATAGGCGTTCAGCTGCTTATCTGAGGTGATGCGCGTCGCAGTAGCGTCGTCATATCTGATTAAAATAGCATGACATATAGCCTGTAACACGCTGTCACACGTTTATTTTTTAGCATTTTTGGGAGTAGTAACATTTACATATATGGTTTCAAGAACCAGATGCATTTACACTTGTCCAGTTTCGTCTGTATTGCGGCCCAGACCACCTCCTAAAGTGGTTTGAGCGATCGGATTCAAATCTGTCTCGAAAGCGTTTCGGGGGGCATTTACACCTGGTCTTTTCATGATCGGATAGCTATCCGATTACAGAAAACGCATGAAGTGGCCAGGTGTAAACGGCCCCTTTGTCTATCCTAACGAACTGAGGATCTTAATCAGGTGTGTTAAATAAGGGAGACATATGCTGCGTCCCAATTCGCTTACTTATACTACGCCCTAAAAGTATGTACTCTTTTTGTGATGAAAAAGTACATACTTTTGAGTGTGTAGCAAAAGAGTAGGCAAGCTTTGGGACATACTATCACGTCATCTTTAACGGACAGCTCTGTCGCGTGCTCCGTGCATCCTGTCACCGTAAACTGCCCTGTCAATCATCTTGTCACAGTTAAAATCCTCCATTCTATCTAATTTTATTTCCTACCGTTTCGGAGAGCACGTTCATCTGCCAGTTGTGGGTCTTTCATGCTCTCCTCGTGTTTGATGCATTTAAAACTTAATGGCTAAACATGTCTTTACAAAAGTTCACAATGCTGCTGCAAATGCAATATAATGTGGACAACATTGAATAAATTCATTTTCGTCAGGTTAGATACTGATAATTAATCACTCAAAGCTCTTTATCTAAACCTCTCTACACAACCGCGGGGACTCGCGCGTCCTCCGTATCGACTACGTGTCTGTAGTTTTTTTAACACTTTTTACTCGTGTTTGTAGTTCTAACCGAATCCTCGTCCAACGCGCAATGGTTTGTGGGCAATATGAGCCGTTAGAGTGTGCATCGATCTACACTTCGGATTCTGACCGGAAAAAGTAGACCATCCGGGTATCTTTGAAACACTCATTTCAACATACTACGATTTGGGACGTACTAATTCTATTTTCAAATACTATTTAGGACGGATAGTATGCGAATTGGGACGCAGGGATACATAATATGCAGAGCAGTGGGTCGCCAGGACTGGAGTTGAGAACCCCTGGGCTAGATAATGAAAGCAATTTTTTTTAGACATTTTTTTTTAAATTGTCAAGTTTGAGACAATTTAAATTGTCATCCACGTGCAAAAGTTCAGTTAGAAATATGTCTGGTGGCCAAATAGTTAATTTACTTTTTAATTTAACAGGTTGATGTAGGCATATAGCCAAATTTTTATTTATATAATTAGGCCCACTGATTCGTTTAATTTTACAGTTTTTTGTGTGTGTGTGTGTGTACAGATGATATAGGCCTAAGCCAATTTAAATTTTAATAGTGTCAGTTCAAAAATCAGTTAGGCTTATCAAAATCTGGCCTAATAATTAATTAGCATACTTTTAAATATCCCACCACACCTTAATGCTATACAGTCCCTCACACTAACCAGAATTTATAATGTAAATGCTGTGCAGAAAAATTCATCTGCATGGAGAAAAAACAAATAAACTACATCTGCAGATTTTACATGATCTTTAAAAAAATGGCTTACATGAAGGGAAGCCGCCTCCAAAGAACATGTTAAAGAGATCTTCAGGTGTAATATCAGACTCAAAGCCTCTGTGGAAATCAAATCCTCCATGAGCGCTGCTAGGCTCCTCTCCTCCACAAACATCATACTGCCTCTTCTTCTCTGGGTTACTGAGCACTGCATAAGCATTTGCAATTTCTGGAGAAGAACAAGAACAGCATTTTTTGTTTTATATTTTGTACATCAATGTACATCAATTTTGTAAAAATGTATTGGAACAAAATTGGATATGATGTATCAGGGACAGCATTACTTTTAAAGGCCTCGGTTGCTCCTGGTGCATGGTTTTTGTCAGGGTGGAATTTCAAAGCCAGTTTTCTGTAGGCCTTTCTCAGTTCCTCATCATTGGCATCTTTTCTGATAGCCAGTACCTCGTAGTAATTCTTACACTTCTTTATCCTAAAGACAACAAAAAGCAACAGGGTTTCACTTTATTTTGATGGTACATTTGACACATTCTGTTGTCTATAAGTAACATTGCACCTAACATTGTCCACTAACTCTTAGAGTATTTGTCAATAAGTAGGGTTAGGGTTAGAATAACTTCAAATGTAGTTGCAAAGTTACTTATAGTCAGTAGAGTGTATGCTGAAGGACTATCATAATAAAGAGTTAGCAGATATTAAGCAGACAGTACATTAATACTCTAATGAGAGTTAGTTGACACATAGTTGCAAAGTTACTTAGCAAAATAATGTTCAAAAGGGACCATCAAAAGACAGTGTTACCAGCAAAAGTTTTTAAATGTTAGCCTAAATCTAAAATGTTAAATCTATTTAACTATTTTTACACTTACAACAAGCTATTAAGTGCTGCTTTGCCAAGCTACATAATACACAAAAAAAAAAAAAAAAAAACTCACCACTTACTTTATTAGGTACACCTGTTTAACTGCTCGTTAACACAAATATCTAAACATTTAGAATATCATAATAGACAATACACATTGCACAGCCCTACGCACAAAAAATTAACTTACGATTGAACTGACATTTGCCAACTTTCTCTGCTCCTCTCCTCTCTCGCGTGCAGGAGAGAGACGTTATTCTGTCACAAACGTGATGCGAATTGACAGGTGAACAAGCAAATCCACAAAGATAGAATAGGTCAATAAAAAAATAATATATACGCAAATTAGATGGTTTTAATTTGGAAAACATTTAGATATGGCTAAGTCAAAGTGTCATCTAAAATTTAAGACCTTTCATAAGTAAAAATAAGACTTTATAAGACTTTTAATGGCCTTAAAATTTTAAAATCTAATTTAAGACTTTTTAAGGATCCGCAAGAACCCTGGCCAATGATAATCATTCGATCTGAATCAAGGATGTAGTTTGACCTTGGTGAAGTGTATAATTTCTGTGATCTTTGCAACTTTAAGTAGGGCGGCTTACAAACTCCTTCTGAGTCTTGAAGCAGACTTCTGCTGATGAAACTGGTAACTATCTTCAGTAAAACTTTTCTTTAATTTATTATAAATCTGATTCTTGTCACTTCTGGGTCTTTGACTGTAAATCCCTGTATAATATATATATATATATATATATATATATATATATATATATGAAGAGTTCAGATGCAAAAGCCTTTAAGTGCCATTTGAAATTTTCTTCTAAAATGATCATTTTTATCAAGCTTGTATATTTAAGTTCAGTATTTTCACTTAAATGGCAATGAAGACAACCTATTAATAGCCATTTAAGTGAAATTACTGAACTTAAATATACAAGCTTGATAAAAATGACAATTCTAGAAGAAAATTTCAGATGGCATTTAGAGGCTTTTGCATCTGAACTCTTCATATATATATATATATATATATATATATATATGTGTGTGTGTGTGTGTGTGTGTGTGTGTGTGTGTGTGTGTGTGTGTGAGTATATATATATATATATATATATATATGTATGAAGAGTTCAGATGCAAAAGCCTCTAAATGCCATTTGAAATTTTGTTCTTTAATGATGATTTTTATCAAACTTGTATATTTAAGTTCAGTAATTTCACTTAACAATTAATAGGTAATTATCATTGCCATTTAAGTGAAATCACTGAACTTAAATATACAAGCTTGATAAAAATGATCATTCTAGAAGAAAATTTCAAATGGCACTTAGAGGCTTTTGCATCTGAACTCTTCATATATATGTATATATACACAGTATATATATATATTTAATGGCTGATTCTGATAAATTCTGATGTGAATATGATGCTGAGCTAGAAGACAGCATGTCTTCTAGCTCAGCATCATATTGCAGCCTTGTCTTTCCATTCATCAAAGGTCCTTAAACTGGTTATCTTATCAAGACAACTTCAGTAAAGTAGTAAAGGGTGTCCAACCCAATAGAAGCATGGTATGTATACCTAATAAAGTGGCTGGTGAAGTGTATGCTCCTAGTTTATGGACCGCAAAAAAAGTGGGTGATGCAGAACCTAACCTTCTCTTCCCAGGCCTGAACATGTAGTACCTTTTGCCTGACTGCGCAAAATTTCATGAGACGTTAAGCATGTTAAAGGTCCCAAAAGCACCCAGATCTTAATAAAAATAAATAAATTAATAAATAATAAATAAAACAACAGGGCCATGGCACCTTCAGTGCTTGCGCCCTAATAATTTATGCACAAGATGACTTGCCTTAGTACCCCTTCAGCTTGCTCCTTAGTAAATCCTTTTGTTAAATCTGCAGTGGAGTCCCGTTTCTGTGTCTCATGTTGGGTTTGGGATCCAGGGTGTGTTCCATTTGATGACTTCCTGCAGTTTGCAGTGCTGTTCCCTGCCGACGTACCATTCCTCAGCAAGGCTTCCAACAACACTGCCAACAAAGCACAACTAGGCTGAATAGCAGTTTTGACTGGGAAATAAAAATCCAATTTATGAATCAGCTAAATGATGATGAATCTTAATGCCCCTTAAATTAATCTACAAGGACAAGGGAAAGTTAGACTTGGAGTTGACAGTCCTCTTTCATGTTGGTGTTCATTAGCTATTCAGCTTTGACTCACAGGAATAAATAACATTGTAAATCCAAATAGAAAACATTAAAACTTTAAAATGTTATTTTAAATTGTAAATATTTCACATTTTTACTGTTCTACTGTATTTTTATGTAATGCAGCCTTGGTGAGAAGAAGGGACTTGTTTCAAAAAACATTAAAAATAATCATCACTACTTTTAACCAGTGCATGTATTTTGCCACTAGTTGGCACTGATCCAAACACTCTCAGGCTCAGTCTTGTCTCAGTACAAGAAGTCCTGCACCGTCCTGTTCTTGTGTTCATTTACATTTGCTTAGTTTCAGAGGGTAAATAAACTACAATGTAAAGTTCCCTTAGTTAGACTTGACTTGATGAGGACTAACAGTTTCCAACAGCTCGTGTTTCTCAATAAAGAATCTTGCTGAAGATACAGCTAAATCTCCTGGTCTTCGCTTCTGAGTTTCACACTTTAGAAGAAAAACTTCAAAACAGATGGTGCCCTGTGACCCGGATGGAGCTGCTCACCTGAATCCAAGTTGAAATGAGTTCCAGATGGAATCTTTCCGTACAACTAACAATTTGGTGAGTTTCACTCCATTCAAGGAACCTCTGAAGACCAGTACAAATTTGCTATCCTCGGTCAGAGTTTGGTTAACCCTCTAGGGGTTTGCGGGGCCCTTGACATGTTTTGAATACCCTAACATTTGTGCTTATTTCAGTTACTTACAACATACCATTGGCCATTGGTCAACTTTTATGCGGCTGTACAGCCAATAGAGTGAATGGATTTTTTTCGTTCTTTTTTCTATTCATATTGTTAGGATTGTACTATATAACCATAACCAGCATCTAAACGAGGATATTAATAATGAACAATCTTTGAAATCGTATACCCCAGCTTTAAAAGACATATCTCTCGTGCCTGTGTGACAAGTAGCCTATTGAATGAGTTACAGTTAATTTTTCGGACGCGTTTTCAGAATGGACTTCCCTGAAAGAGAGAACGCAAAACTTGCATCATGTTTATTTTTCTTTATTTGAGGAAAAGCAGAACACTTTGTTTTTATTCATCAAATTATATCCACAAAAAAACAGAAACTTAACAGGATCTAATGCTGTATAACACTTGTATGTAAGATCAAAATCAACTATTTTGAGTATTTTGAGTCTCTTTTACACTGATAAGAAAAAAAGTGAACCAGAGGGTTAACTGATATTATCCTCTAAAATTTTCTTTTAGAGATGAAAGCTGATCCTTTGTTTCATGCAGGGAAGATTAGCATTACATGCTAGTTATTATATATATATATATATATATATATATATATATATATATATATTGTATACACTGAAGATTAGCATTACGTGCTAGTTATTTTTTTTTTTTTTTTTTATCCTCTGTTCACAGAGAAGGTTAGCATTATGTGCTAGTATTTTGTTTCATCCTCAGTACAGGCAGAGAAGATTACAGGCTAGTTATGTTGTTTACCCTCTGTGCAGACAGGGAAGATTAGGCTTACGGGCCAATATATTAGCATATCCAATATAGGCTATGTGCACAAGCGTAGTTTCGAACTTCTGCTTTTGTCAGAAGTCGGCATATCAGTTTCCGGTCTACGACTGGTCATCCGCATCCACTAATAAACAAACAAAATGAGTGCTGCTGTTGTACGAAAAAAAGAGTTCTTAAACACATCTAAGTTTCTAAGAACTGTAGGTGGATCTAACGTCCGTTTCACACCCGTTTGCAGTGTGTGTTGCGGTGCAGGAGCGTGCTGTTAGTGCGTTCACATATTATGATGCGTTTGCATAGCGAATAACTGATCCGCGGCTGTACAACAAAAACATACTTAATATTTTCATTTAAAGTCCAGAAGTTATGCTGCAACTTATTTTTAAAAACAAAAAAAAGTTGTGTCGGCATTGCGATTCTTTGTATGCACGTTTAAACACAATTTAAACAATGTAAGTTAGGGCTATTACTCCATGCATTACTTACAAGTTGCTCAAGCAAATGGTCAAATATTTACTATATTAATATCGCAAATAATTTAAATTAATTTAAATTAAAACTTGAAATTGACAAAAGCAGCTGACTTGCCTTTTCTTTTGCATTTAAATTTTAAAACAATAGATCTTGCATGTCACAACTTATTTTTCCACCTCCACGATTGAGACGAGTGTTGTTCATTCTGTCGCCTGGTTGAAGTAAATTGTAGTTTTCCTTGATTAAATGTGCATTCATGGTGAGATTACTACATTTTATTTAATTAAACGCATTTATGGTGAAATTACTACATTTTCAGGTCAATCTTTATTATTTTGACCACCAGCGTTTGCAGCACAGCAGAAATAGACTCGGTGTGGAAACGATCGCTGTGCTGCTGTTATACGTACCACACCAGTGAAAAGTGAAAGCCCTAACCTGTTTACATGGTGCGTTAAGAGACTGCTGTGCGGCACTTTGCTCTGCTTCAAGTCGCTAACAGCCATTTGAGCTTCTACAGCTTCCTGATAAACACCAACCTTCGTGCACAGTGGCTGCACAAAATAGACATTTTGAGTGACGCGCAAAAAATAATAAATATTAAGTATGTGTTTGTTGTACAGCCGTGGATCAGTTATTCACTGGAAACCCATCATAATATGTGAACGCACTAACAGCACGCTCCTGCACCGCAACACACACTGCAAACGGGTGTGAAATGGACGTTAGATCCACCTACAGTTCTTAGAAACTTAGATGTGTTTAAGAACTCTTTTTTTCGTACAACAGCAGCACTCATCTTGTTTGTTTATTAGTGGATGTGTATAGACCGGAAACTGATATGCCGACTTCTGACAAAAGCGGAAGTTCGAAACTACGTTTGTGCACATAGCCCATTCTTGTAGGCAGGGAAGTTAAGTGTGATGTGTTAGAAATTTGGAAGGTTAACAATAGTTGATCTGTGTGATGTGGTAAGAGTGAGGTGACAATGACTAGGGATGGGAATTAATAAGATTCGCGCAAAAATTGCAAATCGCGCGCACGACTGGGGCACTCTCTCTCGCTCTCCCTGCTCGTTCAGTTTAACATGCGCACTGTCACAAGCGCAGTGGTTCATCACTACAGAGAGAGACAATTTTACTCACCGATTAAATAAGGCTTTGGCGGTACAAAAATTTGCTTGGGACAGTTGTGAAAAAATACAAAAGGGACATTTGTGAGTCCACGGTCTGTAGCCTACATACTATGGTTGACTCAGAGCAGGAGCATCGATAACAAGACTCGTTAACGCCGAGGGCATACAATATCGATGGATCATAAAACTTAAAACTGGTTCTCAAGTGGAACCGGTTTTCGATTCCCATCCCTAACAATGACACATACAAAGTTTAGCTACATCTGGCCACTTCATGTGTTTCTGTGATCTGATTGCTATCCGATCGTGAAAAGACCAGGTGTAACCTAAATACCCTCCGAAACGCATTCGAGACGGATTTAAATCCGATCGCTCAAACCACTTCATGGGGAGGACTGGGCCGCTTTACAAACGAAACTGGACACGTGTAAATGCATTCGTTGTTGAAACCGCATATGTAAATTGGACTTCTCCCAAAAATCCTGAAAAAAAAAAAACGCGTGAGCGTGTTAGCCTATGCTATGTTATATATGACGAAGCTATGCTCATCGCTGATCGTTTGCTTCTGTCTGCTTTGCTGCCTGCTGTGCTGTGTATTTGTTTGCTCCAAGGCTGTACGCTCCGTTTAAACCTTGTATTAGCTTCGTGTTTCTTTCTGTTTTTAACCATCATTTCTAGTTGTTTATACTAAATACATATTACCCAACATTTCAGATTAACCTTACACAGCTTCCGTTATTGTTTGTACAACACACTAGTAACTCGCTAGCCTGTTAACGCGCCACCCATGCGCTCATTTATTTATTCATTTTCTCTCGCACGCCCCTGCCTTTGAGTTCAGAAAAAGCCCGGTGGGTAAAACCAGCCAACAAACGCGGAGAGTAAGAATCAATAAACACAAACACGGTGAGTAATGTCTTGTCCTGTTATTGTCACCTGTGTCACGTCACATGTTTAGTAGCCTTCTCCGATGGCAATATAGGATTTGTTTGTGATAAATGCAAGGAGACAGTCAGGCTGACGGAGAAGATTTCAGAATTAGAGACACACATCCAAACTTTAATTGAGGATAGTAAGAATGCTAGATCTTTAGATAGTGTTTTGGATGCGACTAGCATAGTGAACTCTTCACATGTTTCGGTTCTGGCTGAAGTAGAGCCTGTGAAGCAGGGCAGATGGATGACGACTAGGGATCGCTCTAGTCGCGGATCAAAGAACCACTCTTCCGTTCCGCTTCCCATAACATATCGATTTGCCCCACTCAGTGAAACAACCACTGAGAATCCTGTTGATTGTGCCCTGGTAATTGGCGATTCAATCACACAGAACGTGAAAATAGAGACACCAGAAACCATAGTCACATGTTTGCCGAGAGCCAGAGTGCCTGACATCACAGCAAATTTAAAAGTGCTGGCTAATGCTAATCGTAAATTCTCTAAAATCATTAAAGGTTCTATATGTAACTATTTTTATAAAATGAATCCTTTTTTTATTGCCTGTGTTTGAAGGGGTTGTAATCACACATTGCAACGATCCACTTTTCGGGTTTTGCCATTACCTCTGAAGGCCAATATTCTTATTTATATGCGAGGTCTCTGGGTCGGATTTCCTGCGAAATCCATCAGAAGTGACGTGCATGCGCGCTCCCGAGTCCCGAGCCTGTCTATCCTACAGTCTATCATGCGAACAATGGCACTTCAGCTGACGACATGGA